CCGAATTTTCTTCACACATTTATGATTTCTCAGGAGATACAGAACTCACTATGGCTCAACCTTTCCTGGATGTCCACCAGTGGCATTTATGCTGTGGAAGGAGTCACAAATGGCAACCATATTCCATACCCACCCATCCCAGTCCTACCCACAGCCCAAACATCCTCCCTGCCCCATTCCTGACTTGGGGCTGCTTCTGACTTCTGCTGGCCTCAGCTCCTCCCAGGGTCACAGCTTCCCCTCTGCAGGGAGCAGGACACCTGTGTTCTCAGGTGGGCAAGCTTCCTGGGGTCACTGTCGCTACCTGTTGCCCTAGAATAGCTACAGAATCCAAACACAGGGAGGATTTTGTACAAAGATGACTAATGGGAGACCTGGGAGGAGTGACCTTGCCTAGTTTCCCTTCGTCCTCCATTTCTGATGATAGGGACACCCACCCCACCTGTGCCAATAAGGACCACACCCAAGAGCTTAGCTGAAAGCACAAAGCCATTTTCTAAGCAGCGGTTACAAGGCAGAGGCCCTTCCTTACCTGAGACTTCCCTCAGCCACTTGGCAGAGGGCTGGCTCCCATGTCTCTTATGTACAGTTTCCTAGGCGCTTGTCTTCTCCTGGTCCTAATTATCCCACCATTCTGGCTGGTAGTGACCAATGGCAATTTACCTGTCTTTCTGGCTGAAAGGTACAACTGAAGGCAGGGGCTAGGCAGCTTGACCCTTGGACCCTGGTGGCCAGTAGGAAGCCTGAATAATGGACAGCTCGCCTGAAAATAATTGTGGTGTTTGGGTGGAAAGGAAGGTTGGGATAAGGAACCCTGTCAGTTCCAAATGTTCTCGGTAGGGTAGGCTACTCTGAGCCAGACTCTGCTTGGGCGTTGAAAACTGCCTACATGGTGTAGTTTGCTGCCCTCTTGTGGCTTAGAAATGCTCACGCAGTCTTTTGTCATTCTCTCCTGGACAGTTTCTTGCTAGTTTGTTAGTAACATGTGAAGCAAAAGGGAGAACCATTTGTGGTTTCCACTTAGGTAATTCTGGTGGATCTCACTAGAACCAAGGTCTGAAGGCAAAAATACACACTGGGATTTTACACAAAGGGGTTGACCATCAGGGACCCCAGGACCACAGCTGCTTAGCCCAAGAATCACAGCTGGGTATCTAGTGGTCTTTTATTTTTTCATTTTATTAATTAAATTTATTCATTTATTTTACATCCCTACTGCAGTCTCCCTTCCTTCCTCTCCTTTCATTCGCCCATCCACTCCTCCTGTTTATGTTCATAAAGGACAAGGCCTCCCATGGGTACCAACAAAGAAAGCGTGGCACATCACATTGAGGTGGGACTAAGTTCCTCCCTTTTCAAAGGCTTGGCAAGGCAACCCAGTATGAGGAAAAGCCTGGAAGCCAGACAGAGCATTAGGGGCAGGCCCTGCTTCCATCACTAGGAGTCTCACAAGTACCAAGCTATACAACTGCCACACACACACACACACACACACACACACACACACAGACACACACACACACACACATACAGTGCCTAGGTCAGTCCCAGGCAGGCTCCCCAGCTGTGAGCTCCCATGAGCCCAGGTTCACTGCCTCTGTGGGCTCCCTCATGTGACGACCTTGACCGCCTTGATTCGTACAGTCCTTTCACCCTCTCTTCATCAGAATTCCCTGAGCTCGGCCCAGTGCTTGGCTGTGGATCTCTGCATCTGCTTCCATCAGTCACTGGATGAAGCCTCTCTGATGATAATTGGGGTAGTTACCAATCTGATTACAGGAGAAGGCCAGTTCAGGCACCCTCTCCACTATTGCTAGGAGTCTTATCTAGGGTCATCCTTGTAAATTCATGGGAATTTCCCTTGTACCAGGCTTGTACCTGACCCTCCCCCTCATCAAGACATGTCTTTCATTACTCCCTCCCTTCCATCCCCCCAACCCAATCCCTCATGTTTCCATCTCTACCAGTCCCTAGTCTATGCAGGAGATCTCTTCTATTTCCCCTTCCCAGGGAATTCCATGCATCCCGCCTTGGGCGCTCTTTGTTACCTGGCCTCTCTGGGTCTGTGGTCTGTAGCATGGTTATCCTTTACTTTACAGCTAATATCCACTTATGAGTGAGCATATTCCATCCTTGTCTTTCTCAGTCTGGGTTACCTCACTCAGGACTTTTCTAGTTTAACCCATTTACCTTCAAATTTTCTGATGTCATTGTTTTTAAATAGTTGAGTAGTACTTCATTATATAAATGTTCCATTATTTGGTTGAGGAGCATCTAGGTTTTTTCCAGGTTCTGGTTATTATAAGCTGTCATGAACATAGCTGAGCAAATGTCTTCATGGAATGATTGAGCATCCTTTGGGTACATGCCCAAGAGTGGTATAGTTGGGTCTTGAGGTAGACTGAGTTCCACTTTTCTGAGAAATCTCCATATTGATTTCCAAAGTGGCTGTACAAGTTTGCACTCCCCCTAGCAGTGGAGGAATGGAGGAGTGTTCCCCTTGCTCCACATCCTCTCCATCATAAGCTGTCATTTGTGCTTTTGATCTTGGCCATTCTGACTGATGTAAGATGATATCTCAGAGTCATTTTGATTTTCATTTCCCCGATGGCTAAGGATGTTGAACATTTCTTTAAGTGTCTCTCAGCCATTTGAGATTCTTTTATTGAGAATTCTGTTTAGTTCTGCACCCCATTTTTAATTGAATTATTGGTTTTTTTGATGTCTAGTTTCTTGAATTCTTTATCTATTTTGATCCTGAATGCACTAGCACAGGAGACAACTGTATAGAATACCAGCAGCACAGACACTGAGATAGACAATTAATAAACGGGACCTCCTGAAACTGAAAAGCCTCTGTAAGGCAACAGACACTGTCAATAAGACAAAAAGGCAAGCTGCAGCGTAGGAAAGGATTGAGTGGCCTTTTAACCAGGGCTGCTTCCCTGTGCGTGGCAGAACATAGACACTCAAGGTCAGATCTTCCGTTTGGCTTCTCTGTTTCCACCCCCCCCTTTCCAGGTATCCACTGGCAATTATCTCCCTTTTCACCCCTACTATGGTTCTGCGTGTCTACTGTAACTCCTTCAGTTCACAGGATGGGTTTCTGAGCCCCTTGCTTCCCCAGTAACTCAGAATGTGGTTAGATCTGGGGACAGGGACACCAAAGGAGCGATGAACTTGAAATGAGAGTGTTGTGGGTTTGGGGAAATCTGAATTCATGTGACTGGTGTCCCTGTAAGAAGAGGGCTCTGTGTGTTCAGAAAAAACCTCACATTAGGTGGCCAGGCAGGGTAGTACATGTTTATAGGCCTGTAATTGTAATCTCTGTTCTTGGGAGGTTGAAGTTGAAGGATTAAGAACTCAAAGGTGAGCTTGGACTATACAGAGAGATTCTGTCTCAAAAAACAAAACAAACTACAAAAAACCCCTAACAAAACAACACCTCCCAACCAACCAACCAGAAACAAGCAGAAAACAAAACAAAATAAAACAAAACACAAACAAAAATCCCATATTTTGATGTTGAACTTCTAGTCCAGAACTGAGAAAATCTGATAATTAAGCCACCCAGCCTAAGGCATTTTGTTACAGCAGCATTAGCAAACAAATATGCTTCTTAAGAAAATGCCTTCTGCTACACCAGCAGGTACTGCATGCTGGGGCCTTTGAGGTTTATAAAGGCATAGCTGCCCTCACACTGGGGACTGGCTATAGTTCCTGAATTTGTCCAGAGGATCCTTCTGATGCACTTAGTTTTAAACTTCAGAGTCCTAGAGGCTTTTCATAGATGAAAAATTCTGGAATGTTAACACATCCACAGGCTCACAAAGAGGGTCCTGGGTCAGGAGCTGCTGTGAACCTGGGCAAAGTGTTGGGCAGAGAGAGTCATGAGTTTAGCTGAGACGTGGAAATGGTAGTTTTGTTTCTCCCTAAACACTCAGAGCAAGTTCAATGTTTCTAAAAAAGTCCCCACTGAACTCCACGTGGCAGAATATACCACACTTACATACCACCCTTAAAAGGTCCCCTCATCTCTTATACCTGCCTGCACTGAGGGACCAAGAGGGGGACTTGTCAACAGTCTTGGTCAACAGTGACACCTAACCACATTTATTCTTTCAAAAATACATTTTATTAGTGGCATGTGGGATTTAAGGTTAACCAGTTTCTTCCCAGAGAGAAGGGGAATCTCCGAGAGGCTAAAAAGCTGAGCCGACACAGCACAGCAGACATGCCATTTCCAGGGTGATGACGTATGCATAGGGCATTCTCCATTGAGGAGACTGCTCTCTGCGTCATTCTCACCCCCCTCAACATTTGATTCAGCGTGTGTGGGACTGTCCCAAAGTATTGGCAGTCTACTCCCTCAGTGAGTCAGTGTCATCTCTCCAGCCACCTGCCAACCCACTGCTGGAGAAGTGGGAAAGGTCATGAGCCTAATCAAGCCCATGTGAAGGCAACTTGGAACTGGGGTCAGGTGGAGCTGGCTTTGGGAGCTCACCTGTGAGCCAAGAAAAACCCAAGACATTAAGAAACTTCACAGACTCCATTAGTCTACAGATCGGGCAACCATGGAGACTCTTCAAGTACCCAGATATGCGTTGGAGAAGTTTGAGTGTTCTGTTCTGGAAAGATCCAGTGCCCCTCACAGATAAAGAACTCCTCCCTGCACATCTTGCCAGGTGTTCTTGTGTCTCAGGATGAACTCTGCAACATTTTGAGCTTCACCTGACTTGGGTCTTTCTCTCCAACACCTTTCTTCAGCCCTTCCTCTCATACCCTCCCAAGCTAGCCTCTGCAAATTGCTGTTCTCCCAGCCCAAAAGCAGTTCTGTGGTCAAAATTCTAGCCTTGCACGATGGAGACTGGGAAAGGGGCTCCCTAAGGCTTCCATCTTTACTGGTCTTAACACAGGCATCTCGTCGCTTCAGAATCCGACCCTCAACCAAACATTCATTGCCTTACTGATCAAGGGAACAAAAGGAGGGTCAGACTGCGTAAGGTTTCCATGTCTGCATCTAATTGATTAAGCCAGGTCTCCACACCAGGCAGCTCAACCTCACTTCCAGGCTAGGAAGAGATTACAATCTTCTGGGGTTTAGTGCAGGTCCATGGTCTTGGTGTCACAAAGGTCAATGCCGGCCTGCAGCTTGCCATTCTTCACCGCTGCCCAGGGCATGGTGGCAGAGGTCCACTTCGCTACCCAGTCTCCTGTTTTGCTCACCAAGATGAGGCCACCTAGACCTTTGAGCTTTGACTTCATATAATTCAATGCCAACTCAGCAGCCGCATCTACGGTCTTTCCTGAAAACAAGAAGAGGTTGAGAAGCATCACACACGATAATCTTCACTGGCTCCCAGGTTTGGACAGCTGGACTCCAGCTGTGTCGCTGCTTTAGGACACTGTGAAATCTATGGCTGGGCTTCACTGGAGAAAGTGGTTCTGGGAAAAGGGGAGGGGACTGGCCCTGCCTTATATCCTGGTCCACTGAGATATGAGCAAGCACCTACTGCACGTTCCCACTGACACAAAGCTGCCCAGCACTGTGGCCAATACATCCTCAAAGTGTGAAGCAAAACAAAGGTCCTTAAGATGCTCCTTGTCAGGCATCTAGTCGTACTCACCAGCAAAGTACCACAACATGCATGCTTAAATGGGGCTGAGACATCTTCCCTTTTACTCCATGGTCAAGGTCAACCCTTTCTGTGATGTATTATATACTTGCCCACGCATATGCATGGAAGTCAGATGACATAGGTGGCCTACCCTACTATGTTCTTGTTCTGCCTTAGTCCCTTGAGACAGGGTTTCTCACTGAATCTGGGGCTTGTTACTTTCCTTTCTTCCTTCCTTCTATCCTTCCCTCCCTCCCTCCCTCTCTCCTTTCTTTTCTTTTCTTTCTTTCTTTCTTTCTTTCTTTCTTTCTTTCTTTCCTTCCTTCCTTCCTTCCCCACCTCCCCCTCCCTCCCTCCCTTCTTTTCTTCCTTCCTTCCTTCCTTCCTTTCTTTCTTTCTTCCTTTCTTTCTTTCTTTATTTCATCCTGTCATACAGCAAATTCCAGTAGTCACCTGTTTCCATCTCCACAGGGCTGAGGTGCCCATAGGCACCTGTACAGCCATACCTGACATTTTACACATATTTGGGATTTGAACTCAGGTCTTCAGGCTTGTGCAGCAAGTGCTCTTACGTACTGAGACATTTCCCCAGCCCAGAGAATAATATTCTAGAATAGTATTCTAAAGATTCTTCTAGTCCAGATCCTACCAGAATGTAGGCATGTATTAGAATAGTATGAACTACCTTGGGGCAAAAAAGGTTCCATAGGCTACCCCATCAGTGATAAACAGCATCTGTGAACTTGTCTTTACCAGTTACGCACTTGACCACAGTCCACGTACCTTGTTCTACATGAAAGAGGGCGAGTCTGGCCAGATTCACCTTCAGGATACTTTCTCCATGTCCTGTGGTTGAGACAGCGCCAACATTATTGTCTGCGTAACCTCCAGCTCCTGTTCAAAAAAGGTGACTGGTTTTAACTGAGCAACATAGTCAAGAAGTTCAAACACAAGGCTCATGCTACATAATGTTATATCCTGGAGGTGTAGACAGAGGTCAGATCCCTATTCATGGTCCGTGATGGAAAAGTGTACAAGAGGGGCACTTGTAAACACACAGAGTGCAGGGTGATGGGACCTTCAGGAGGCAGGTGTGGCCTTTCACAGAGCAGGGGCACCAGGGCAACGCCTCCTTTGTCCCAAAGGACAGCCACATTTTTTCTCTCAGTGGTGCCTCTCCTTTTGCACAGGAAGAAGATGACCTTGGAGGCGTCACCTGGATGACTAGGACAGCCATTAGACATTAAAATAATTTGACAAAACCAAACCTTCCAAGGCTTACCTTGATGCACACCATGATGATTTAGAAAGCAATTCTATCTGTTGAAAGTAGCTTAAACTATTCTGGGCTATCCATAAAAAGGGTTCTGGAGCCAAAGGGATTTTGATAAAATTTCTCCCCTAATCTTACTCTAAGCAGCTCTATAATCATTTCTCCATCATTCTTTATCTGTTCACACAGAGCCACCAGTCTGAGGGTCCCATAGCCTGAAAGGCTTTCCCTTTACTCTGTTCTGGTTGCTACAGAGCATCATGTTGGCATTTGCCTTATGCAATGATGCTGGGTATGGGGAAAGGGCTCAGGAGGACAGGTTTCTGCTGAGTGTTAGTTTCCCAGGGTGTTTGAAAGCAGGTAACTCCATGGTTCTGGTTCTGAGGGGACAGAGATTAGGTAAAGAATACAAAGTTTTCCGATAGGAGCAGGCTTTTCTCTTTCCTTCAAGCTTTTGCTGTGGGGTGAAGCAGACTGACTCCATGCTGTCAGGAGGGCCTTACTTTCAGAAGCTGCCAAGTCTTCATTTTCTCTTCAGTACCTTTAGAGTCACAAAAGGTCAAGGTGACTCCATGGATTCTGGCACGGGCACCCACTTTCTCAGTATAATAACTGCACTGCTAAAGTAAATGTTACTAACTGCCTAGTGTCACCTTGAGGGACAGCTGGGCCCTCCTGGGGACTGTTGACCAGAAGGGTCAAGATGAGCACATTTGGTGCCCAAAACCAAGACAGTGGCTTCTGGGACTTCAGATCACAGATTTTCCTTCTCAGTATTTTGTCATAAAGACTCACAAAGCCTGAACTTAGTCCTAGGCTCTTGGACCTGCCTGGCCCTGGAGCCTGGAACCTGGAGCCTGGAGCCTGGGGTCTGGTCTGATCCCAGATGGATGCAGGCTGTAGTGCTGAGCAGCCATATTTTAGCAGGGTTTTTGCTAAAGAACAAAAAAGTGAGTGTTTCATGTTTGCTTCTGAGTACTGAAGCACCTCAACAGGCAGGCCTCTGGTTTTTAAAGAGGCTTCATGCATTTCCTCTGAGGCTATCACCGTATAGGGTACAAAGAACTCTCAAGAGTGTAAATTATCACTAGGCCTATCACAACATACACACAAGGTCAAGTTTTCTATTAAAAGTCTAAGCTGCTCCCCTGGGCAGACGAACAATTTAGCTGTTTCTTAAAATGTCACCCAGCTGCAGGGGTTCGTGGGGATTCCCACCAGAAAGTGCAAACCTCACAGAGCAGAGCGAAACCCATGATGCTTTTGTTCTGCATGAGGTGTTGATATGAGGGCATTTCAGTCTACAGGAGTGGAGTGTGCTACTCACACGCAGTACCTGGAGACATGACGTTTTCTCTGTGTGCGGGTGTGTGCGTGGGTGTGTGCACGGGTGTGTGCATACGCAGGTACACATGTGGAGGCAGAGGTAAATTTCCACCATCTTCCTTGAACTCTCTCCTCCTTATTTTCAGAGATGGGATCTCTCACCCTCACTGACCCCAGAGCTTGATGGTTTAGCTCACTAGCTGGCTAGCAAGCTCTGGGAATCCACACATTTCTGCCTCTCCCAGTGCTGGGTTACAGATGCACACTGCTACACTAGCCTTTTACCTGGGTGCTGGGGATCTGAACTCAGGTCCTCATACACACACAGCAGGTATTTTCCCCTGGGCCATCTCTCCAGCCCAAATTTTCCAGTTTTTTATTTTTATTGTTAATGTGACTCATGCCTGGGAAGAGGTAGTATGTGTTCAGCCTTCTGCAAGCAACCCAAGGACCCTGAAACTGGGGCTACAGAGAAGACAGTTAGGACTGCAGAATCCTCACCTCCACTTTCCTTCCCAAGATGTCCCTGAAATGTAATCCAGGGGAACCTGATGTGCTTATTAGATGTGAACACCCCAGAGCAGCGGTCCCCAACAACCTGTACCAACCCAACTGCCACTCCTAGGAGCTGCATGACACAGGAAAGGACGAGAATCTGATGACATGGGAGGCAAGGGTGAAGCATGAGCTACCCCTCAGCCCTACCTATGCAAGGTGAGTCTCCAACTCTGCCGACCATTTTATTGACAATCCCTCCAGTAGAGGTGGCATAAGCCAAATTTCCTTTGCAGTCCAAGGCAACAGCACCCACCGTTCCTGAGTTTCTGCCAAAAATAAGCAGAAAAAGGAAGAGAATAAAGATGAGGAACAGTAGCCAAGTGAAACTGGAACTTAGAATCGCTTAAATTCCCACATTACATGTTAACATTCTAGGCTCAAGGAGCATTTGTTGCTTATTCTACATGCCACCAGCAGGCCGGTTTTCACCCGGCACTTTAAATCTCTAAAGAGTACATCTATCCCAGAACTCAGGAGGTAGAGGCAGGGGGAATCTCTGTGAGTCTGAGATCAGCTTGGTGTACATAGAGTTCCAGGCCAGCTAGTAGACTCTTAACAATAACAAAAAAAATTATTCATTTTTATGTTTCTTTTACTTTTTTATGTGGCTACCAGAAAAAGTTAAATGGCCTAAGTGCTTCTTATTGAGGTGGACACATACACAGATTTAACTCTTGGAGAGATGGCACTAATTCATGAGTACCTTCAGAAGCTTACACTGAAATGCGTGGCGGCAAAGAAGTGGACTGTTGCCACTGTGAGGGAACATGCTTCGGGGTAAGTATCACACACGTCACTTTGTAGATAATTTTCCACTTGAGTCCTGCTGTTTATATCTTCCCAGACTACCCCAAAGTGTTCATTTCTGATCTCAACACTGGCACAGCCCAGACTTTGGACTCAGGAAGCCTTTGCTTCCAGGAGGGGGCAGCGTGACAGGCAGAAAAGCTTTTCCTTCCTTGAGGCTGCAGAGTGTGAGTGACAAGGGCGGAGGCCATGGGTAGTCATGCTGGGCCAATGCTGAGTGACAAAGGTGGCCAACGCATTCTGTGATAAGACTGTCTGACCTCTCTAAATTGCAAGCTCCAGGGTAAGGGGCCACCCATTTATATCTAAGAGCAGTGCTGGCTGGTGCAGACGGACAGCTCGAGGTGCTTTGTTCTTGGTGCTGGGCATTGAGCACAGGGTTTTATGCACACTGGGCACATGCTCTCCCGCTGAACCACACTCTCAGCTCACACACAACTTTCAGAAGGCAATAGGAAGACAGCTTTGAAAATGGACATGAAGCCCTGATCCAGCAGCCACATTTCTCTGACTCTAGTCCACAAAGATTAGAGCCTCAGGTCCTAGTGCCTGCGAGGCTGAGGCAGGAGGACTGCAAATTCCAGGCTTGGCATGAGCTACATAGCATGATCCTCTCTGAGAGCAAGTGAGAGAATAATAGTATGTTAACATCTTCAATCCCATAACCTGGAAAGGCATCAGAATTATCTCAGAGATTCGCACATGATACCTGCTTGGCCTCTCTGTCTTAGACCCATCAAAACCGATTCTTTAGGAAAGGGTGGCATAAATTAATTATAAAATTATAAATTATAATTTAATAGTTATAATACATATGATCTATTATATACATAACATATACTATGTATCTGAATATATGTAATCTGCCTAGGTTATTTGAAGGTTGATGTCCGGTAAACTCTAGCAACTCAGTGTTATGAGACTGAACTCTGCTCTCCTATGAGCTCCTGGGTTCTACTGAATTATTACTAATTTTGGAGTTAGAGCCTCACTCTACAGCTCAGACTGTCTTAAAACCTGTCCTCTTGCCTCTGCCTCCCGATGGCTGGGATCATGTGTGCCATGAAGCCTGGCTAGTAACCTTCTGCTTCACGGAACCAGAGACCTGTTAGTCCGACTTCTTATGCATACAGGAGGAATAAGTAAGGGTGAAGTTATGATGAAGGGGAGTTGCCTTCCCTCCACAGAGTTTGGATCACTCAGGGAACACAGGTGAGGGGACGCTGCCAAACTCCCCACCTCTATGGCTCCGGAAGTCTGGGTGGCATCTGGAACTTACTTAGGGCAGTCAGCTTTGTGGGCCCCCTTCTCAAGCTTCTCTTTCTCCAGGTGCTTCTTGCTTCTCTCCGTTATCAGTTTTTCTACAGGAATCTCTGGAATCCCCATGTCTGCTGCAAATTTCTCTGCACCATGGCCAGTCAGAAAGCAATGAGGTGTCTAAATCAGCATGGGAAGGGAGGAATAAGGCTTTTTTAAAAAAAGTATAAATTTCTTGCAAACCCTAAAATGGCTCCCTTAGTTGAGATATTTAATTCCCTGCTCCCATATCCATCCTTCCTCCATCCCACCCATCCCATTCCCCCAAGCTATCCCGAATCCTTCCCTTCTCCCTTTTCTCTACCCATCTTCCCTTACATTCACCCCCACGCCCCTGTGCACCCAAGTTTGCCTGGCAATCTTGTCTAGTTCCAATATCCAGGAGGATAACAATATATGATTTTCTTCAGGTTCACCTTCTTATTTAGCTTCTCTAGGATCATTTTAGGGTTTGCAAGAGACTTCATTCTAAAGGGGTTCCCAGGTCCAAGGAGAGGTCCCCAGATTGTTCCCTGGGCAGCAGAGGAGAGGGTGCCTGAACTGGCCTTGGTCCATAACCATACTGATGAATATTTTGCATATCACCATAGAACCTTCATCTGGCGATGGATGGAGATAGAGACAGAGACCCACATTGGAGCACTGGACTTAGCTCCCTAGGTTCAAATGAGGAGCAGAAAGAGGGAGAACATGAGCAAGGAAGTCAGGACCATGAGGGGTGTGTCCACCCACTGAGACAGTGGGACTGATCTAATGGGAGCTCACCAAGGCCAGCTGGACTGGGACTGATGGAGCATGTGATCAAAATGGATACTCTGAACGTGGCTGGCAATGAAGGCTGACTGAGAAGCCAAGGACAATGGCACTGGGATTTTATTCTACTGCATGGACTGACTTTGTGAGAGCCTGGTTTGTTTAGATGCTCACCTTTATAGATCTGTATGGAGTGGGGAGGACCTTGGACTTCCCATGGGGCAGGGAACCCTGACTGCTCTTAAGACTAGAGAGGGAGGGGGAGGTGGGGAGGGGGAGGTTAAAGGGAGGCAGGGAAGAGGTGGAAATTTTTTAATAAATAAATAAATAACTTTAAAAAGTATAAATTATAAAATAATTATAAATATAATCAATTATAAAATAATTAATAATACCTGTTCTATTGTGTGGAAATAATAACTATTTTTTAGCATTAAAAGGCCCCAAAGTGAAAATTGAACTGTAGCCCCCTTTTCTTCTGTGTTGGCAGTCAATGTCAGAGCTTTGGTTAAATGATCTGTCGCAGAGCTGTGTCCCCAGCTGACTTAAGCAAGGCCAGGAGATGGCAAAGTCAGCATGCGTCACACAGTTATTAGTTATCAAACAGGACTAACGCAATGGCTGATCTGCGACAGTCCAATGGCACTATATGTTTCCTGTGCGTGTTTGGGACAGCGAGCTCCAGCACTGCTCACAGCCTGGCCCGCTCACCCCAGAAGTGCAGCAGGCGCAGCTTCTCAGGAAGCCCTGCATCCATCACTCGTACCTTTTCCATAACAAGCCGTGCAAGCTTAGTGGGATTTGCGATACAGCGCACGGCAGACACTGCTCCTGCAGACAGGTCCCTCCCATCCATGATACTAGCATCCATCTCAACGTCACCTTTTGCATTCAGGACAGACCCACAACCTAAACAAAGAAGAAGTTGAAAAGCAAAAGTGAAAATTTATAAAAGACTTAGATTTTCCATCGACCTACCTCTTTCAGCCCACCTTTTGTTCTACTGCTAGAGGAACATCGTGGAATCACATTTGACTTGGTACCTACTGGTTTGGACACAGTTTGTCTCCCACAGGTTTCCAGGACAATAGCATCGAGGTAGCAGAACCTTTAAGAGGTAGGGCCTAATGGAAGATAATTAGGTCATGGGGATCCACCCTCCTGCATAGATTAATGCTGGTCTCATATGAAGGAATTTTCTCAATCCAATAAAGACAATCTATAAAATCCTATAGCCTATATCATACTTTATGGTGAGAGCCCAAATGTCTCTGTAGCTGGCCACCAATAAGTATGTTTGATCTCTTTATTCATACTGACTCATACCACTGAATGGCCTAGCCAATACATTCTACATTATAGGAGATACATTGTGGGCTGGTGGGCGGCATATATGTGTAATTTCATGTAACCTAGGCACTCAGGAAGCAGACACAAGAGGACTATATGCTAGAAGCCAGCCTGGGTTACGCAATGAGTTTAGGCCAGCTTGAACTGCCCTGTGAGAGCTTGTCCCCTGAAACAACCCAAAATATAAAGACTAAAGAATATAAAAACAGAGGGCAGGAGACTAGTTTGGAAAAGAAAGAAGATTAGGAAAAGTTGGAGGGGGAAGAAAGAGGGTAATGAGGGAGTAAATTATTAAAATGTTTAATTACCATATACTACTAAAAGTTAAAAAACCAACAACCCCAAATTTCAGTTTAAAAGCAATCAAGGGGCAGGCAAGACGACTCATGAGCTGAAAGCATTTTCCATGAAAGCCAGAGGAACCAAGTTCCATTCCTTGAACCCACAGTGGAAGGAGAACTGACTTCTGGAAATTGTCCATGTGCACCCACTTGCACACTCACACACTCGCACACTTGCACACTCACACACATGCACAATCACACACAGAGTAATAATAATAACAAAAGTCGGTTATAAAAGCAACCTAGTCTTTGTTTCTTTTCATAGTAACCAAATAGATTAAGTAAATATAGAAAAATCAGTAGTATTACATCATAATCAAATGATACAGAAAACTTCATTAATCTGAGTAATTGGTATGAATTAATAAAAAGAATAGTTGACTCAAGAGAAAGAATAAAGATATTGTCCAAACTGAACAAATGGTACAAAGTAGACGGGGTGAGCTGGGTGAGGTGGGTGAGGTGCCTAACAAAAGGTCTACCACCTAATTCACTCGAGTCCCCAAAGGGCAGGAAAAGCCTAGGTCTGAAAAGCATTCAAGGACATGATGATTGAAAATTGTCTACAACTGACAAATGGTCTAAATGTACAAATCCAAGAGGCTGAACAAATCCCCAATACTATTAAATCTGGAGATATTCACAGTAAGACACAATAATCAATATAAAAAACATCTTGAGAAGTCAGGGATGGTAGAGGGCTTTGCAAGGCTTCAATCCCACTCACTGGAAAAGCAGAAATGACACCTTACTTATAGGGGAAAACCAAATATAATAGCAAAGGATTTCTCAGAAGAAACCATGGAGGCATTTTCCAAGAGCTGAAAGAAAAGACCTATCAAGTCAGAATTCCATGTCTTAAAAAAGCGCCCATCCTTTGCGCTTTTGAAACCAGGACTATACTAGTCTATAACAAGATACTTCAGACTAGGTTGCTTACACAACGGAAAGTTAATTCTCAATCTGCAGGCTGGGAAGCCCAAGGTCAAAGTGCCTGAAAGGTTGACCCTTTTCTGAGGTTGGTTTGTAGGTAGTCGCCAACTCACTGCATTCCAGTGCTCTCTCCTGGTGCCACAGGGAGGGTGAACTCTAGTCAGTTAATGAAGATCATCATCTGTGTTCTTAGGAGCGCTGGCATTGTATATCATGGTAGAGCTGTACACACCAGGCTGTTTGGCACATGAGCAGCTGCTGAGTCTCCTGTCTTCACCTCCTGTGGTGCTGTAGGAGTGCTAGGATTACAGATGTGGTCTACTGTGGACTTGTGTGGGTTCTGGGGATCCAAATTTAGGTTCTCACAATTGAGCACTTTATCTGAGGAGCCATCCCCAGTTTTTTCCTTTCTTTTAAAAATTTATTTATTTTATATGTGCGGGTGTTTTGCTGCATGTATGTCTATGTACCATGTAATATAGATGGAGGAAAACAATCTGGTGCCAGTGGACCTAACCTGGAAGGATGGCTATAAGAGGCCTTGGAGCAGAGAGGCAACAAAAGGAGGAAGAATCCTGTAAAACCAAGAGAGAAGAACCAGCTGCAGAAAGAGTGAAAATTTGGGCAAATACAGTGGACTTGCCTTCTCCTCCTTGGTTTATGTTGTTGGTTGTTGCAAAAAGTAACAAGATCCTGAAACTGTTCCCAATGTATACAGAAAAGAAAACTGAAAACAACTGGAAGTTGAAACTTAGCACCACCTGAGCACAGAGGTAAGGTCCCTGCACTTTGCCTCCATTGGTAAGATGTGTATATTATTAGACAGTTGATACATATATCAATATCAGTCTCCAGAGCAAACTCTTAAAATTCTATGCAAAGATATATATTCAATACTATTGATAAAGCAAAATAAATTTCTAAAATCGATGTTCAAATAACTTAGAGGAAGAAAGAACAAAAAGAAAAATGAGGGTAAATAGATCCCAAAACATAATAGCGGATGTAAGCCCTTAACCTATCAGCAGTTGTATAAAATGCAAATTTTCTAAATGGACTCATTGAAAGGCAGTGCGGTTACAACTTATCTTTGGCCCACCTGAGAGATAAAATTTTACAGACCAAACTAATGTATGTAATAAAATATTTCTGTCTAGAATATACAAGTAACTTATGACACTTTATAATAGGGGGAAACACTTTTAGCAGACACACAGACAGTCTGCTCCTCGATCAGAAGCTGGTAAATATGTTCCCTGGATTTTACCAGCTGCTCTGGCGGGCACATGGGATGCTGTGTGAAGACCAGGTCCTGAATTTGAAGGACTGAACCAGTCTGAGCCCTCAAGTCACTGGTCTGTCCCATCAGCTGTACCGGGAGCTGATCACATGCCCCAGATGTCATCATATATTCCTGTACACTGATGTGGCGGCTCTCAAGACCAACTGGACATCATACTGATACTCCAGGTGACCTCAGCATCATTGTAATCTTCTAACGATAAAACACATAGGTGCCAGAGCAGATCCGACCACATCTAAACTAGGTAGACAAGAAGTGACAGCCTGGCCACTGAAGATCTCGCTTCTTTGTGAAAAGCTATAATGACAGTATGCATTATACCACCCCCAGTGCCCAGCCCAGCCCACAAGGATTTTTGCTCAGGAAGGACCATGCCTCTAGAGTGTAAAATACCCTTCTTCACTCATTGGTTATTTAACACCCCACCTCAACACACAGTTGTTTATTTACATGTGGTAGCAAGCAGGAAAGCTGCAGACACAGTGGCAGAATTTCAATTCAGCCACAGTAGATATGTACTAAGTGTTAGAATAGACCAGGCCTTGTACCACATTCCCTCTTGTGTGGCTGGGATCTGTTTTTGTTTTGTTTTGAGACAGGGTCTCTTTACACAGTCCTGGCTGTCCTGGAACTTACAATGTTGTAGGTACCAAAAGTCTTTTTCCCTTCTCCTGGCGATTCGCAGGGCCATGTGACCTCCGGCTCCCTGGAGATTCTGCTCTAGCTCTGGCTTGAGGGGATAACTTAGCAAGAACCTGGTTCTCTTTGTTATGGTGATTTCACCTATATTCAAGGTTTTAGCAGTAGGCCCATAGCCTGCCTCCCCCAGCTGATCCTGCCTGAGGCGCAGGGAGGCCTTTAATCTTCTCCTTCTGCTCCTGGATGGGAGGAGGCCTTGCCCTTTTTGATCCCCCTGCCCACTTCTATAAATACCCGACTTGAATTTAATAAAGTTGCCATTTACTCTGGTAAATGAGCAAAGGTCTCTTTTGTGTGTGTCTCTTTTAACCCTCAGGACAGTTGTCCATTCTTATGGGCCCGAGTTCGGGAAAGCGCGCCTGGATTCGGTGTGGATATCCACTGAAAAGTGTGGGGTCTTACACAATGTAGACTTGGTTGGCCTTGAATTCACAGAGATAACACCTGTCTCTGCCTTCTGAATGCTGGGACTAAATGTGTGTGCCGCCATGTCTGGCTTGGCTGATCATTATTATTTTTCATTATTTACTTTAAAACAAATGAGCAAATACAAGTAATAATTTCTCTGAATTTCTAAGTCATCATAGAAAATGACTGAACCTGAGCAGGGCAATATAGGAATCCCAGTTTGTAGCCACAAAGGTAAATGTTGTGGGATAATCTTTTTGTACACTGTGAAGAACTGTCACTCTGATTGGTTTAATAGAAAGATTTCCAGAGGACACTGAGAAGAAGGACGAGTTGCTAGGAAATGCTAGAGGATGCAAGCAAGCAGTATGGGCATTGCAAAGTATAGGTAGCCAAGCCATACAAGAGAACGAAGATGAAAAGATATGGGTTAATTTAAATTATAAGAGCAAGTGAGAAACAAGCCTAAGTTATCGGACAATCTTTTATAATTAATAAGTCTTCAAGTCACTATTAGGGAGCCGATCATCTTCTGTAGGAATTCCTATAGCCAATAGCCTTTAAGATACCAGCACACTTGGGCATGGCCTCTTATACTATAAATTCTGATGTAAAGTATGCGCTTGCTCTTTCTCTCCCAGCTTCTGGATTCAGTTTCTGTTCCCTGTTTGTGTAGAGGACTGTGATCTGTGATCTGTGAGTCTACCCCTGAAAAGATAACCCTTTGTTATATGCAATTCTGAGTTAGTGTGGGATTATTTTGTAACTTCCATCTTCATCTGGCGGTCATGTGAATCCCAACTCCACACCTACAGATACAGGCCAAAAAAGATCCAAAAGGTCCATGGCCCAGCCATGCCCGCCTGGCTTGA